GGTTTTTTTTTTGGTTTTATCTTAAATTAAAAATATGTATATATATTTTTTTACTATTTCTTTTTTTTCAATTACTGCTTTAAAGGGGAACATCGGTAAGTGGGTTGCTTTGTCAGCTAAAGGCATGTTTTAGAGTCTATTCTCCAGTTAGCGATTATTGGATTAATAAATTAGTGGACAATTATTTCAATATTGGATGCAAACAACTTGTTTTCCTCATAGAAACGTGTTGTAAGTTTTTGCTATATAAATAAATGGAATTGACAGAACAAAATGAAGATAAGTATATTATTAGTGTGTAATACCTACTAATTGCACATAGTCAGTTCATAGAGCGTATGATTTACCAAACTTCCTTATTTTTAGTTTTTCATTTAAGTAAGAATCTGGAATTTGACTTAGAACAAAATCCTCATTCTGTCTCCTTTTTTTCCTTGCCCTATTAATTGGGATGTAGGCAGAGAATCGGGCTTATGTGAATAATGTATGTTAGCTAGCTCGCAGTTTGCCATAGTTAATTTCTCGCTCTCTTAGACAGTTGGTCAAAGGTTATACAAGCAGAAACACAGACTGCCTACAGGTTGTTGGATTGTCATCTTTAATAGCAAGATGGGCTTATGCTAGAATCGTACCACAAATGACGTAAATCAAAGGGAAGGACCAAATTTGCTCTTTGTGGAAAGCAAAAAGCAGGAAAAACGGTCACAAGCAATACACTCTCACACTCTGGATTGTCCTGCAGGTTTTGATTGACCAACGTATGTGTTTTAATTTGGAAAAAGTCTGATTTCAGGATGACGATACTGTTAAAAACTAATAAAATAAAACTAGAGCACTGTAAAGTGGGTTGTTGTTTGTAACAGCTCTTAACGAAATCAAATCCAACTTCATTTATGTAGCACTTTAAAAGTACCGAAGTGCTGCGAAAAAAAAAAGCAAAAATAAAACACCCCTACAAAAAACAAATAACAAAAATATATTGGGGAAATAAAAAAAGAAAACATAAAATACACAAACGCCTTTATCCTTTTGAGTATTAAATAGAGAAAAAAATTAGACTTTAGAAGAGATAAGATCAGACTTTTAAATCTCTAACCAGAAAACCTCATCTTCAAATCCTTGAATTTCAGTAAGTTTTAACCCGAAACACATCAGCTGTGACCCACTTGACAAACATTAAGCTCCAAGCGGATAATGGAAAACTTAGAGAAAAATCAAGCAGAGTGGTATTTTATCAGACTGTACCATTTTAAGAAAGAGTGTGACTGATATTTGCTGTATATTTACATCATGTTTTGACAGTTTTAGTTTGTATTTACCCCAAAGCGGATCTGTTACTTTGCCACCATGCCTCACTTTCTGTATGACTCGTAAAACTCCTGTCAAACTGCATCACATGCAGGTAAGTCAGAGCTGCAGTGAGGGAGAACCAACAACTGTGTTGGTGTTTCTAATTGCTATGGACATCATAAAGACCTTTATTTTAATGGTTGTACCCCAAACCTGATTCAATGTGTTTTAGGGGACACTCACTTGATAACAACTCTGTTTGTGTTCCCTCTCCAGGATATTGAATGGAGCTGTCCCAGTGGTAGAGGTTTCCCCAGGAGATGGCTCAGTGATGCGCTCCAACGGCTTCCTAAACTCCTATTTTACTCACCACAAACCTAAGCTCCAATCAGAGGAGGTCAGTTTCTGCAAACAGTTGATAAATCCAAGTGTTTCAGCTCTAATTATTACTGCTTTTTGCCCAGGTAAGAGAAGTAACGTATCATTTAAGCAGCCTTCCCCCTGATATACCTGGACAGTTGTACTCTGTGGGCTCTATCGTGAGTCGTGCCAACAGGCAAGATGTGACTTCACTGCAGTTTGTCGAGTATAGAAACTTTATTTTTAAGGATTTTAATAATTACATCTTCTTCTCACAGGATTCTTGCTTGTTATAACCAGGCCAAGAGTTTACTAAAGTTTCCTGCTCTGCCTTCCTGCCTGCAACAGGTTGAGCTACATCTGTTTATATCTACAGTGTTAACACATTGAATCTCCATATTTATTTGTTTAGAATAATACAATGTGTTTGCAGGACAAACACATTAGTGAACCAACATTTCCAGAGCGCAATCTGTCCAGTGAAGTGCCTGTAACAAAACTCTTAAATCCGCCACAGACTGAGGGAAGTGTGTAAGTCACGTTTTCTTTATTATTCACTTTATTTAAATGCTTTTCCCCTTTTAAAATCCAGTTTTGAGTCTGTTTTCTGTTTGAATTTAGCTCAGATGTTGTTGCTGCAGAACTGGAAAAGATAAAACGGTTCAACTGTATCCTTAAGAAAAGAGCTCCTAACATACAGTAATGTGGGTTTCTGAGTGTATACCCTCTATTTATATGTATGTGAGGTTTATTCTTTAACATACTGTGCCAAGTTCTGCTGGAGAACAACCACCTGCTGAGAAATAAAACTGAGTCTGGAAAATCAGAAGCAACATCTTTACAGATCACACCAGAGGAAGCAGTAAATGAGGACTACATTGCTGCAGCTCTTCAAAGGACCTCTGAAACAATTAAGGAAATTGATGAGCTCATATCAGCCGCCACACTGAATTAAGAACTAAATGTTTTTCCCCTCGTCTATCAAGTTTGTTGCTGGAATTAATATATGCATGGAGTCTAAAATAAAGTGATTTTTCGATTGAAGTTTCTTTGGTTTCAGTTTATTTTCAAATGTGAAAACATACAGAATGTCACTATAACATACAGGTTAAAAGAAGTTCTCTGTGATTGTTTATCTGTTTCCTAGTAAGAAGTATGGGCAGTTCTAGATGGGGGCCAAGAGGGGCCGGTACTCCTGTAGACCTGGTCCTGGCCTCTGTACCGAAAACATACACTTGGAAAAACTGATATGTTATTGATAATTTTTATTCCTTGAAATAAATGTTTTTTTTTTCTCTTAATTTTAGCAGGTAGTTTATGTTAGACAATTTTGCAATGCAATAAAGAGGATTTACTTTTAAAATAAGAAAAAAAAAACATTAACTACTTCAAGTGTATAACATTGACCTTACATTTAAGTGCAAAACATTTTTTTTTTCTTTTTGTAGTTCACAATATTTACCTGTTCTAATTAATGGCAACTACACTTATTTTAAGATTTACTTTTTTTTAAGGGTAACAC